TAAGAACCTCTAGAATCTCCAATGGCACCAATACCCCGTGGAACACCACAGGTGAGTTAACTGTTCTACCTCAAAACAGAGTAGGTCAATAATAATTATTTTCCCCAATTTTCAGGACCTGTTCATTGGATCAGAGAACGAAGCCGAAGCTAAAATCATCACTTCCTACAGGTATGCTGAGTCTCAGGAAAAATAATCTGAATACTTAATATCTTTAAATGAAATCAGCTGTGTGTTTTATGATAAAGATGATCTGGATGATCAAGGACTATCAAATGACTGAGTGTTCTCTGTAGGTATGTACCTTTTTTCATGTGAATATTTATATACACTAGCTAAAAATAAACTACTCATAAAAATAATAAACTAAAACTAATTGTAGCAATTTCAAATGCTACAAACAATTCGTGAATAGTGTTTTGGATCGTTATCCTGTTGGAAAATAAAACTCAACGGCATTTCCCACTCTGCATAAGGCAACATTACATTTTGCATTATATCTCTATAGACAAATCGATCCATGATGTCATTAATAAAGCTTAAAGGGCCTACCCCATTCCATGAGAAACAACCCCATAGAAAAACACTGCCTTCACAATGTTTAACTGTGGGTGTAACGTATTTGGGATTAAACCTTGTATTGATTGGCCGTCTCACACGTTTCATTCCATTAGAAATAAAAATTTAAGACCCGCGTCTCATCGCTAAATAGAACTTTCTTCCACTCGTCTACTGTCCAATTCAAATGTCGACGTGCAAATTCAAGCCTAGCCACTCTATTTCTTGCCGAAATAAGCGGTTTTCTAGCAGGGCGTCTACTAAATAGCTTTGCGTCTACCAACCTTCTTTGCACTGTTCGTGGACTAACCATAATCCCGGGAATTTCAGCAATAATTCTAGGTGCAGACAACCAAGGATCGTTATGAGAGATTCTTTTAATACGTCTGTCTGTCCAAATTGTTGTTTTTCTCGGTCTTCCCGATTTAGGTAGAATCTCAAAATATCCCCTTTCATGGTAACTTGAAATTATTTTGGATTCGCTGTATCTGGGTAAAACAAACCGTCTTGAAATTGTGGCTTGTATTGCACCTTCCAAGTGCGCATTAAGTACTCTCTGTTTCAATTCTTTCGCAATTGGAATACCTCTTGGCATGATTAATCCAGCACAGAAATATCACTTAAACATAAAATAAAGTCAGCAATTTTTTTTTTACTTTTCCTTCCACTAAAACCTTTGTTTTTTAGAAAAATATTAAAATGTTGCTTTACTTTTGACGCATTACAATTCAGTATTTGAAAGTTCACGTCAATATCAGTTCATTTGTTTTGATTGTTGGAAAAAGCTGTTGACGTCAATAACAGCAGCCTACTTTGATATTTAAGACACAATGTATTTGAATACAATATCAGGCATTCACTATTATAAAATCGAGATTTCTTTCATTTTTCGAAAGTGTTGCTTCACTTTTGTCCGATAGTGTATATGCATTCACCATAGAAGTGGTCAACAGTAACTCGAATGCGACTTGTCTGTTGTCTTTTCATTTCATGAAAGTGAGACATTCTGTACTTTGCTGTGCAAAAATTCGGCCCTTGAGTATCTGAGTTGACTAATCGCTTAGCTAGAATTACGTAAGTGTACCAGTTATCTGTAACAACAGTTGTGCCTGTATTCAAAATGTCTTCAGTCAGCACCATGACGATTCCGAGGTGTGTAGTTTTCGAACCATCAATCTGTTTTCCGAGATAAATCGTTGAATTGTATGTATACCCCATTCCAGAGCAAAGTTTGAAGATTTTTACGCCACATTAATGACGCTTTTGCTTCATATACTGCCGCATTCCTAGGCGACCCCGGAAAGGTAGCAAAGTCTCGTTCACATACACGTACTCCTCAAGTTCATACAGGGCTTTATAGTTAGGAAGTGGTTTTTCTAATGAAAGTGCAAGTTGAAAGTTTATCACCCTCTGGGATTTGCGCATCATTGTCGGAAAAATGTATAATCCGCAACAAAAGTTCGAATCGATTATGACTCATGAGCCTTCTGGAAAAATTCATATCAATCAAAGTTCATCGCTACTCCAGTAGTCTGACAACCTGGGTAACTTATTCAGTCCCATGTACGCAACAAGTGCTGAAAATGAAATATGTTTCAGCTAATAATGTATTTATCAAAAAACAAAGTACTTACCCAAAAAGTGCTTCATTTCAGTGTTCGTAATAGGTGTCCAGTCATGCAGACGCGACGCAGGTAAGACGTCGTCTTCCTGAAGCGTCCGATCAGCATATAAATAAGTTTGATTGACAATAAGATTTATTATGTCAGCGTCTATGATAGCTGTATAATATTCGCCAGGAGTGCCTCCATGATTTACTGCAGCTATATCGGGTCTTATACCTGTGTTCAATGTGGAGCATTTCATTGTTATTTCTTTATCAACAACTGGTCTCCAACTAGATCCGAACGTATTATGTATTAGAAAAAAGGCTGTGTTCTGATCCACAGCTGGCAATTCTTCGTTTTCACGTTCCTCATCGCTAATCCGTTCTGTACTACTTTGGGCAACTCCTACCTCTACAAAGGACGTCCCAGAATGCAAGGAATGTTCTGATGTATCAGCATCTGAATCATAAAATTCCTCCTCAGACGACGAATCGAAAGTATTAGCAATATCTTGCAATTCAACAAGACGTCGAGTCTCTTTCAGATGTAGATTGTGTTTGCTCGACATTTCAAAAGTTGACTCATTAGACAATTTCAAGATATGATAGGAAAAACTTACTTGAATATGACAAATCACACAAACCCAATTTTACAGCATTCACAATACACCAACAAGTCGAAACCAGGAATAAATTGACTCAGCTCAGCAGGAATATGACAACAATGCAATATTCAGGTTATGCTTCCAGGGGAACCAGCGGCGTGGCACCATAATTTTCATTATGTTACGCCACGTTGGTCCGATGGGACCAGCCCAGGATTAATTTTTGTTATTCAAAATGACGACTGTGCCAATTTTTATGGTTGCCTCAAGTTATTATCGTTATTCAGCTATCAATTAATACTGTTGGCCTGTTGAGAGAAACTTTGAAATGTTAGCGGCAGTCAACGTGTTGAGGAAACATTTGAAATTAAATTTTTCCTTGGAACATTGCAATAAACCATATCGGATTGAATCTCCATATTTTGGCATTTACTATCTGTATTCCAGAAATTGCCCATTCTTAATGAATCAACTTGTATACTGTCTCTAGGTTATGTGGATAGACGATAGAAGTTTATATATGAAACCATACTTATTATTTTGAGATCAAGCAAATAAATGGAAATGACTCACCAACGAATCTCCAAATGTTGGAATGAACCACTCCAAATTTTAGTTTCAATTTATTATGGAACGACTCGATGTTGTTATTTGTACGTCGAAGCATTCCATCACAGAAATTATTTCAACATCGATCTGTCTGATCCAATATCTATAGGTGATAAGAAGGTGAAAATGTTTCAAATAAAAAATAATCAATAATTAAACTTGGAAACAGGGGCGAAAGGGATTTTTTTTCCTTGGGGGGGCGGGGTAAATGCTTTTCGGTTCAGGAGGTGATGAAAAACATGTTGTAGAGCCATGAATGACATTCAATACAATCAAAAATATACATTAGACAAACGAGACAAAAAGAAGAAAAAAAACACATACGTCTATAGATAAATAACAAAATCAATGTTCTTTGGCAAGTAGGTACTAGAAACAATGATTAACTCCTTTGGACAAACAAGTTACAAATGAAAAATAAAAATTTCTTTTATGAATGAATAACAAAACCAATGTTTTTTGGCAAGTCAGTACGAGACAAAAAGGATAAGGAACTCACATTTACAAAATTAAATCTAAATGCCTCTTTCTAATTTTCGTAAACCTCTCTAGTACACTATCTAAATTCAAATCTATGTTCCTGTGAATATGTAGCAATGCTAACGTCACTAATCTTTCTTGGCCCATCGTTGCCTTAAGCCACGTTTTCAACCTCTTGAGGGTTGAAAAACATCTTTCTGAGCTTGCTCCATTCACATATTGAATATAGACCTAGGTATCTATTGGATATCTATTTGGATAAGTATCTTTATCGCAATACTGTGAAGCAGATGATGCCGAACTAGACAAATGTTTATCAGTGGCACCATCTCATTTTTGAACCATAGATCCAACTCGGTATTTGAGAGAGTTAATAGCGAATCTTCAGGGCCATCTTAAGAGTTTCGGGACCCCGGGGCACGAGATTTGTAGGGGCACCAATATTTTTTTGTATTAGACTAAAATTGGTAATACTTAAATACGTAACCAGTTCGCTCCGCTCGTCACACAAAATGCGTTTCCTAACGTGTTACGTACAATATTTTTCCGTCACTTTGAAGTATCCGTAAAACAATAATATGGTCAAAAATCAGCGACGAAATTTACGAAATAGACATTTAGAATTTGACACCTTCTTCAGTGGAGAATGGCTGATTCAAATTGAGATTTCCTGAGTGATATCGAGAGAGCAGCACAAAATGCACAATTCTACTAGTAGCGAGAAAAGTGAAATATTACATAATTAGTGATACAATTCTCATTTCAACACCAGTAACGGAATAAAAATATGGATGGACAAAGAAAATAGTGCATTTTTGTGCTACTTCCTCGATATCACTTGGGAAATCTGAACTTGAATCAGCTATTTTTTGACTAATATACGAGTCAATTTCGTTTATTTCGTCGATGACTTGTGAGGTAATTATTTCTGTTCAAGTGAAATTTTTCATCAAAATGGGATTTTGATGGACGAGCGAAGCGAGATCCTGCAAAACACAGAGAACTGGTTACGTAAATATCTATTATTTCAATACGCAAATAAATATCTAGAAGGTCCTACTTTGAAAGTAGTCAAACTGAAAACAATTTCTGGGAAAGATTTTTTTAAACAATAGTATAGTTTTGTTGTAGAGTCGTCATGGTTATTGTGGTGCGTTTTCCTCGACGTTGCCTCTACGATTTTCGCCATCATCATTAGCCTGGTTCTCCTGGTCTTCAACATCAGCCAATGCATCTTCTTCTTCTTCGTCGCCATCCTCATCTTCCTCAACATCACTCTCTTCTAGTGCATTTTCGACAGTTAGAATGTTCATGTCAACTACTAATCTCATCAAATTTCTGTAACGAGGTTGTCTTTCCCGATCACGGATCATCTCATCAGTAACAGCCTCTCCTCTTTGACTCGCGTAATCAAGAATCATCTGAGATATCATCACTTGATGGGGAATTCTTGCCGGCCATCCCGCGTATTTTGCTATAGCAGTGTCACCAGATATTTGAGTCTTTAATTCTTTTGCCACCCAAGGATCATTGTTTATAAGCATTGCAGCAGCTCTAAACTTGTTCCAGTCGTCCTCCAGGATCTTTGAGATCTTAGCCCAATCGAAGTCAGGGTAAGATTTGATAGCCTCAATAATGGTGGAGTAGACAGTGAGTCCTGACCCAGCTGCTTGCATTACTGTTAGATGTAATCTGAGGGCTTCCGGGAGAATTTGCCTCAACCATCTACGAAATACCTCAGCTATGTTCCTGCTGCTTATTTCTCCTCCATATTTCTGGTAACACAATTTTATGGCTTCTTCCCTGAAGCTAACGTTCTTACCTAAATCCTCGTAAATCCCTTGCTGTATTCTCGACAAGAATTGAGTAGGAATGACTCCCCGTTTAATGTTAGCTAGCAAGATGTGTGTGATCGCATCTAATCCTTTCAAACTACATTTGGGGGTGCCTTACATGTTAGATACTATAGGATCCTCATTGCCGCTTCAGGGGATAATCGAGCCACAAATGGTTCATTCTCAGGCCAATCCGCAGCAATTGGAACACCGAAATCAACTTGTTTGGGCTGTGGTCATATCGCCCCCTTCTACTTGCACCTCTTCAGCAGTCAGACATGTCTTCTAACTACTACGAGATACTCGTCACGTGTACACGCCGTAATGCTCACCACGAAATTTCTCATCAATAGAGCTAGTACTGTCTGTACCAGACGTAGTCTCGCATCTTCTCATGGCAGATACTAAGTAAGTACTAAGTAAGTACTCAGTGAAATACAAAGCAAACATGTTGTTTTCGATTCGAAATATTTTTTTTGTAATTTCATTTTCGATAGACAAAAGTGCCGAAGAATTTAGTATCTCTTGTCCGAAGGACGAACGCAAATGATTATTCTCCAACTTCCATTTTGAAAATTATGTTTTCTCACTCCTACTACTGTATATATTGCTTTTCGAACATGATTGTTTATTGATTTGTAATTCCTACCTAACGACTCGAATTAAATACGAAAATACGCGAACTGCGTCAATATTATATGAATGGAAATAATTATTGGCAATGTATTCATTCGTCAATAACCCGCCAAAAAGTCTCGCAATATGCATGGACCATGCATTCCTGTTGAATACCAACTGGATACGGAGCTTGGATTTTGACCTACCTCTATGGGGCGCCGTTTGGTTCATAATTATTTTTTCGATATATAGAAATTTTTCCATACTCATGAGCAGATGAAAACCTACAAGACCCTTGTAGCTCACAAGTATTTTTCGAGTTTTGTCCTGATAGTAAGAAGGAAGATAATACATGATTTTCATATCATGGTTGAAATGGTAACTTTTTATATTCGAACCTACATAACTTTTATGTTACAAACATCTTGAAAGATGAAATTGTTGTTTATATATTTCCTACCTCAAATTCATGGAAATCTTATGTATTTTTTTCAGGCGAAATATTCACAAAGAGCGGAAGAGCCAGTGCTACTAAGCCAGGTTCAACAGTTTCATATTATACTGATGTAGGGGCTTTGTGACCCATGCCATCACTCCACAATTATTGTGCTGATCACGCCAATAGCAGAAATGGACTTAAGTATATACAATTGCTCTGACTGGCTCAATACAAAACAATACTACAATCAAAGGAAGGTGTAAATTTCGATTTTTTGGACAAAATTTCACAAATTGCTCTGATGTTTCATGCTGAGGTTATAATGCCTGAACTTTTGGGTAGATATTTCACAAGTGAAGGGTATGCGGAAATGAACTGTTGGTGGGAATGTTGAAATGCTAAAGATGGAACCCTCATTATTAGTTGTGACAATGTTCCATTCTAAATGTGTAGGTATTTTAGATAAGTACACCAAAGTCATCATGGTTTTGTGAATTCTGTAATCTCCAAGAGATAAAAAAAATGTCATATTTGGTGGGGAGTGTAAGTGCTATACACCCTACAAAATTATGTTAAATGAACGTTTCTGGCTCCTACAAGAGGAGTACGACAGGGACAAGTGACTGCCTGATCCCTTCCATAAATTCTACGCTACTTAAAATAACATCACAGTGCTTACTATTTGCAATGACTTACAGTCGACAAAAAAATTCAAATCTTCTCATCTATACTATGGGAAATTTAGCTCTGAATAGAGTGAGTGAAGTGGTGAATCTGGGCATTGTATTCTCTTCCAATCTTATATTTCAGTCACACATACAAAATGCTCTCTCCCGAGCACACTAATCAGTCGGTTTTATAAAGCGCTCGACACTTGAATTTGGTTCTGTTCAATGTTTAATATATCTTTACAACACTCTGGTTAGAAGCAAATTGGAATTTGGATGTTTGATATGGAATAATTTTCTGAACAAAGGAAATGCTAATCAATTAAAGACCCTCCAAAATAAATTTCTGAAGTATATTCTCTATAAAAAATTCAACGGATCCCCAGGTTTTATTTCTTATCAACACTTGAGGCTTGATTGAAATATCACAAAATTAGAGCACAGGAGAATCCACCGTGGCCTGCTTTTCTCTATAAACTGATGAAGAACCATGTAGACTCTCCAGAACTCCTGCATCAAATGAACTTATTGTATCTACCTGACTATCGGACGCGCCCCAGACGCCTTACTTTTTTTGTCAACACTTCATATGCTATTGACTCATTATACTAATTATACAATCGATACTATCTCGAATATAATCTAGATATATTCAATCAAGTCTCGAATCATAAAGTTGTTTTGGTACCTACTGCATAAACCCCTGACAATCCTTAATTTTTTGACCGTATCTACTAGTTACAGAAACATGTAATTAGGATAACCTGTATGTTTCTGATAAATAAATAATGAATAAGTTTCTTGACATCTACATACCAACATCTCTAATTGAAACAGATAGAGGATGGTTTAATAATTAGAATTCTGATCTCCCTGTATCTGTTCCAATTACTTAACCACAATTTGTAAAGTAGGATGCAAGAATGAAAACAACGTGCCTATGGGTAACACTGTTCCCAGTTCTTTGTTATATTTCATTAATAAATTTTGTTTGTTATTTCAATGAATAATTTTCTCTGAAATGGCTTATTGTTATTTGAGGAAGGTGGAAAAATCATTTGTATAACATGGGGTTAAAATAACTTTTCCTTCCTCGAATGATACTGCCCACCGCTAGTAAACTTCATCCTCAGGAGGAAAAGTACCACTTTCCTCCTTGTTATACAAATAGCTATCATTCGTGGAGGCATCTGACCACGGTAAAAAAATGTTCACCTGCAGTTGTTTCTGGAAATATATCGGGCGATCGGGCGACGCCCATGTATCATCAAACGTCCGAATCGACAGCATGTAGCTGGCTTACTTACTTACTTACTTCCAAATTCATTGATGACTATATACCATTATACTGTAGAACAGTTCACCTTTGAGACCTCAAATAAAAAAACGAATGTACAACAAAGTGGTTTTATTCACAAAAAAAAATTCGTCATCAGTACCTATTAACAAATACCTATATCATTGATTGCAAATACCCCAAATTCGTTAACAGAGTTACAAAAAAGATTCAAACCAGTACAGTACTTTCACATATAGGGTGAGGCAAGGAATTATTCTTAACTCATCGAAGGTGTATAAAATAAAAAACTTGAAATGTATTATAAAATAATTATTTCATTGTCTTCAAGGAACAAATATTGTGAGTTCATTTCATACAGTTTTGAACAGGATGTCTTTCAAATTTCAAAAGATAGCGTTCATCATCAATATACTCTTGTAAGTGGTTTCTGAAGCTCTGCATCACCCTCTGAAGCATGTTTCGCGTTCGCCGGATTGGACTCCGTGCGATTTTTTTATGATATCTGAGAGACGAGGTTCACGAACCTCGTTCAAACAACTTACAATCCTCAGAAGACGAGATAAAATTGCTTACAAGAGTGTATTGACAACGAAGACCATCATTTGAAAGATATTCTGTTCAAAACTGTGTGAACTTCCATTATTTGTTTCTTGAATGCAATAAAAAATGTTTAATTTTATTAATTTTTTGGAGTTTGGGATAATTCCTTGCTCCACCCTGTATATAGAATCAGAAGAAAACTAACATAGTCAAAACAATTCGGTATCTACTGAAAATCCTATTTGTGTATCATTATCTATTTTCGAATATTCAAAATTATTTTTGAACACTTTCGCTTTCGTCGGAAATAACCGTGAACTTCAAAAGTTCCATATTCGTATACAGGGTGACAACGAATTCTTTATGACAGGTGCAATAGTTTCAAGGGTATAAATTTCTAATTTGGCAAGATTATGGGATTTGAACGTTACACTAATTTTCAGGTTCAGAAAAAAAGACTCAATTTTAGAATTTAAATATTAACATTTTTGATTTCTGGAGATGGTTCTGAGTACGATCACATAGTTTTGGAGAAAACTCATTCAATTTTTCACTTTCATTATTTGAGCATTAATTTTACCTTGTCTGAATTAACATCTCAAAATATAATTTTTTCTTTACAAAACTTACAAAATAACAAGTTAATAAGGCAACCACAGATATTTAAAAACCTGCAAGTCTTTTCCATGCATGTTCAGAGACCAGTAGTATCTGAATATTTATGCCTGAGAAATAAAAAGAACAATGTCTAACATTATGGTGGATAATACTGGCGTCAGCATACCACAAAGAGTTGGACCCTTTTACTTTATATACTCTTCTGCAAATAATCTGACTTCTTCTCATAATCAGCCCCATTGGATTCAACAAATGGAGTTTTTCTCTCAAGCGCCATCTTGGTACATATATTCCAGATGATCTCAAACTTCCCATAATATAAACTTCACCAGCATTAGGTGTCACGTGAATAATTTCCCGTAATGTTCCATCCAATTCCTCATCTGTTACAAGTACCTGAGGTTCTAATAAATTCATTGCTATTCTGTGTCTATATAATGTAGCTTTAGAAACACCAAGTAATCCTGATATTCTGGTCCATCTCAGACCTGATGTTCTTAAAATCCTTAATTGTTCCTTTGAAATATCATACTTCGGGGGACCAACACGGTTACTGCTAGTTGATGAAGTAAAATATACATTGGTTCGGTCCTGCGAATCAACAGTAATGAGAACATGCTCAATTTGACCATAAATATCAAACAGTATATTGTAAACTGATGATAATAACTGTTTCAACATTTCACAGGCCAGTATATTATCAATGAATATGTTCAACACCCTACAGTAGTCCTCAATTTTCCGCTGAGCTTGAGATAAGGCTCTTGAAGAATCTCCTTGAGAAAGTAGATTCACCACATTATCGTGACATTCAACAATTTCATTGAGAAACTCTTTCACTGAACCGTTGGGAATTACATTTTTACTCGAAAAAAAAAAAATAATAATTGTGAGGTTAAAGATTATGTAAAATAGAAAAATGTATTCTCATTCTTCTCCATTTCTTCTCCATTCTAGACAGATGAGTATTTTGGACACAACCAGAATATAATAATATCAGTGTTGCCAGATCCTCTAACCTCATTCTGTGCTGACGTCCAGCCGCGTTCAGCCACCTATCGGTAAACCCTGAAACCCGAAAGTCTATTTCTGCACACACTGGTACAATCAAATATAAACTTTCGCGACGCGCAAATGTAGACTTTCCTGACACGCAAATATATAAAGATTTCGTCATATATAAAATTTGTGCATTTGATATAGACTTTTTTCTACATAAATTTAGTAGGAATTTTATATATTACCAATAATAATTATGAACCAAACGGCGCGAGGCATACTAATATATATTGAAATTTCGTCGCACTTAAATATGTAGAACATTTTTCACACGATATAAAAAAATTTGCATATAATATTGATAAGTTCGTATATTATATAGGATTTTTTCTATATTTTGAGTCAAAATGTCTATATTATATCGAAAAAAATAATTATGAACCAAACGGCGCCTCATATACCTCATATACAGTCGGAAAAATCACTGTCGGGTAGGCTGACGCGGGTTATCGAAAATGAATAATAATCCGTTTGAATCAAAATTGTTTCATACAAAATTGAAATATTTCTGAACATATATACAGTGTGTCTCACTTCTAATGTGAACACCCCTGTATCTCACGTATTCGTTGGGTAAGGATCCTGAGATTTGCTGGAGCGAGAAATATACCAAAAATGCACTCTATGACCAAGTCAGGTCATGTTCAGCGATATACACTGCTATTAGGAGGCAAAATTGGTTGACAATCACTTCGAATTCCGAATCATGACGCCCAATACACAAACTATCCATATTCTTCTGGACAAATTTTCAGCTCTGACAATTTCATTTTTGTCTCACTTTTCATGGAAACAACCCAGTATCTTACGTAATCGTTGGGTTAGGATCCTGAAATTTGCTGAAGCGGGAGATATACCAAAAATATACTCTATTACCAAGTGGGGTCATATGCACTAATAAACACTACACACATGTCCGGAAAATAATATCAGGAGACAAGATTTTGCTTCCTTATATCATTTTCCGGAAATTGGGGTGGTTCCATGACTGTTGGCGAGCAGTGTATATCAATGAAGATGACTCCACTCCGTCATTCAAGATTCAATATTTCTCAAGATTTTTTATTTCCACAAAAGAATACAGTGGTTAATCATTAACACCATTTCCTGAGATCTAAATTACCTATATACAAGACTTTTGTAGGTGAAATGGAGAGCTGTATGATATTAAAATGACATAGAGTACATATTTGGTATATCTTCCGTTCCAGCAAATTTCAGGATCCTTACCCAAGGAATACGTAAGATACAGGGGTGTTTCGATTAAAAGTGAGACACACTGTATACTGAAGGTATTGAATTTTTATTTCAATGAACATTTGGAATAATCATGATTAGCACCCAAAAAGAAACAATTTGAGACTAGCGCAGGGCCTCCCTGAGGCCGGGGCCCCAAGGCACGTGCCTCGCGTGCCTTGTGGTTAAGATGGCCCTGCGAATCTTTACCTTCGTTTGCGAAATTTGATGAATATTCTGCTGAGTTTTGTTTTATTGAGGAGTATTTTGCATTGATGACTGTTAATGTTGAGAATTCTGTACAACTCATTATGAAATCGAGATTTGAGATCTTCAATCACGTTATCTGAAAGAGGAATGAAAATACTTCTTCGGAAGTATTCTTCAATAGAACCTCATGGAGTATTAACTCGATGTGTTTGCCTTCGGGTAATTCGGGGCATCATCAGATCCAAGTTCAATTTATTGTGAAGGTCTTCTATGTCTTTAAGGAGATGAGAGATTTCCACTTCTCACTAAGGATAATTTTGGAAACAATGTCGTGGTGTGTTGTGTGATACAGCTTTATAGGACTTGCGTTCGTTTCTCATTAAATTCAATGAAAAAATATGATAATTCATTGTATTAATCAAAGTTCTTGGGGAAAGGGGTAATTTCCCCCATTACCTCCTCCATATCGACGCCTTTGCCTAAAAAACGTCTCCATATTTATATCATTCTCAGTTGTGAAAATCATTATTTCATTCAAACCGTCCTGAATTTTTTCAGCAGGGAGTAATGGCAGCGCCATCACCATTTTCACGGTTTTCAACGCTGAAACATTCTTGTTTATAAAGTTGAGGAACCCTAGTCGTCTAATTTTTTGTTCCACACTGCCTGTGAAATTTGTTATCTTTCATTATACTAACCTGAAACAGCCTACCTATATTAATTGCATTTTAACACGTTGACTGCCGTGAGACATAAACATGGCGTCTCAGCTTATTTTCAATAACAGCCGCGTGACTCACCTCGGGTGTCGTTTTTTCTTTCGTTTCATAGCCGCGTGTGCCTTGGTCGATGTCTCAAACCTGTTGGTGATATGGGACTGAAAGAGCACGGCTGTAAGTGTCTAAAATTGTTATTGGCCTCTGAATCTGAGACTCACAACCTGCTCCTCATGGTCTGAAATATGAGCTACCTGTGTACTTGAAAAAGCACTCAAGGCAGAAATATTTTTCACATGCAATGCACTTCAGTTCCGTTCTTGGAGCCTTTCTTTGAGCATGGGCTCGTTCAAATCCTTTTTTTAGTCTTTTATAACAAAGAACGCATCAACTTCTGTTGTTGGTACCAAAATCTTCCGAAGAATGTTGAATTTCTTCGGTGAAATTTTGCCTATTTTTTATATCCTCTAAACCTAAGAGACTGAACACAATTTCCTCTTTGAATTTTGTGATGGACAGTTTTTCATTGGCTACTTCTTGATGTAAAATATGTGCATTTACCAATGCCCTACCAATAAGTAGCTCAATGGCTAACTTGCGGTACCACTTCACTCCTCTGCGTAATGATGTAGTGTATGATTTCATCTGATCTGACAAGTCAATGTAAGATGTATCTTTGATGTAGTCAACAACAGCAGTAGGTTTCTGTGAATTTTGATCGAGGCCAACTCTGATGGTCTGTAAGTCATCGGTGTGTTTTGTGGATAGAGTACGAACATCTCTTTTGTCTTTCCATTGCTAGGCAACTACACCTGAATTTCTCTCAGCAGCTTCAGTTTCTCCTCTCTTGAGTTTTTTATTCACAACTTGCTCAGGATTCATTTTTCGATTTGACTGGAGAGTCCCAACCAAGTGGCAAGAAAAGCATGTGCCAAAGCCATTCTTGTATAATAATTGTCTGTGTAAATTGTTCTTCCTTTGTCAAGCAAGTCCTTTGCAAGAAAAAGGACTACATTTTGGGAAGAAGATTCGCCCTGTCTGTTTTGTCCACAAAAAACTAACATATTATAAGTATATCCCTTTTCGATGCATAGTTTGTAGAGCTTTATGCCAAATTTGTGTCTTGTTCTGTATGTACTGTCGAAAAGATAAGCGACCTCGAAAAGGAACAATAGTTTCGTCAATACAAAGTGATTTGCTTGGTGTAAAATGACGTTGAAATTGTTTGTTGATTTTTTCTGTCAGAGGTGATATTTTATGCATTCTGTCTGCAGACATGTCTTCATTATTATTGAAATGCCACATTGTCAACAATATCTGGAATCGATTTCGGGACATAATGGATTTCACCGAATTATAATATATGCTCATTTTCGACCAATATGATTCAATACTGGGTTATTGGATAAGACCAATCCAAATGAGTATACCGATGAATTTTTTCAAATCATCCACATTTGTGTCCTGCCACTGACGAACTCTAGCCCCTTGTGAACTAGGTTCAGCCAGACATTGAGCTGCGTACTGAGTATTCCTTCTTCTAAAAATAGATAATAGAACTCCAGCGGCGATTTATCATAAAAGTCTGCATAAAGTTGAAAATTCACGCCAGGATTAGGTTCTGTGAATGCGAAATTCTTCAAATTCCGCCCAGTTACGGGATTCCAAATAACTTGTTCGTTATCGACAACATCTTCGTCACCGCTGGAAGCGACATAGTCCTGAATTACTTCTTCAATTGTTTCCATCACCGAATCATGCGCATTCGTGAGGATTGGCTGTGGCGAATTTGTGTTCGGAATGATTGGCTCTCGCGAAGATATATTTGAACAACTTGGTTTTGGCAAAATTGATTGAACTTTTTTTGTATCAACAACTTTGGCGCGTTTGCGTGCGGGCGGTAGTTCTGTGGAATCGTCGGATTCGTCATCACTACTTGGTACGTATTCATCAGACGATTCACCAAACAACTGTTCATCATCTGCGTCGGATAACACATACGAAGAAACACATACGAAGAAAGAAAGACGAATGATCGCCCGTCTGGCAGAGTGCTTGCATTTGGACAATACTTGTGTACATGTTTCGACAGGAACAGACATGTAGAATTGAGACTCCACGTTTGTCGCACGCGGCCAATGGGGCAAATTTTATGTGTTGGGGCCGCGTGAACCAAACCGCAGGTCTTATTAAAAATAACGAATAATGTTGAATGAAATAGTTTTTTTTTTATCAAAAATTCACTTATGTTGTTTCTGGGACACTGGAGTTGAACTTTATGGAGAAATGTAAATGGTCATAAGGATCGATATAATTTCAACATTGCGGCAGCCAACGTGTTAAACATCCCTAACAACTTCACTATTTGCAATTGCCAAGGTCATTGCAATGCCATTCAAAACTATGGGGAAATATGCCTAACTCCTGGCTTAGATTGAAAGTCAGACATGTTTTCCTGTAGTTTTTGATGTAATCGAAACGTTATCTGATGTCCTTGACGACCGCTAATTATATTACATGAATTACTAATTCAAAAGTTTCTGGGTTAACAATAATGTGTAAACTGATATCTGTCATTCCAGTTGTGAATATCATAACAAATATACCAGGAGTCTGATAAAGAATGACATGCCTCTGTAAAATAATTAGAAATAGCGTGTGTCCCGAAAACCGCAAATCTCTATCTCGGAGGAGGTTTGCGACAGTAAACAACTCAGTACTTCAAAATAATGAGATAGCATTCACCAATGAAACAAGTCCATTGAATAATAGCGACGATTTCATCTCTCTTACACGAATCATTCTGTATTTTATAAATGAATTTGAAAAGATGGTCGAATGGAAAAAAATAACACTGATTCGAGCATGCTTTCCTCGTTTCTTTCCAAAAAGTACTGAATCACACCGACGCACTGTAAACGAACCCTATGTGTGATATATTTTTGAATTCAGCTTCCCATGGAAATTCCGAAAATTGAATGAAATGCAGGGTGTTTAATCTGAAGAAAATAACGCGAACGTCATTACACAAACGTGGATCACCTTGTACATTCAGTTTTCCCTAAACATGTGGTGAATTGATATCATAAAAATACCTGTTCTAGGAGATTCTTCAGAAATGGATAGTATAGCTATATAAATCAATTCATTCAGTAATTCACGAAAACACTGTATATCATATGGTTGTGTTCATATCGTCTGTATTTTTGATGGGCCTCCAGATAGTTATGATAAGGATCATATTGACGATATGGAATAAGCACCTGGCCATGCATCTCTTATAGGTCTCTGAAGTGCAGCTTCATAATAGCTGATTATTATAGATGGTTGGAGAGTTGGTACCATGTTCTTCATATAGGTGAATACATCGTTATATGCCTCAATTGACCGGTTGGTCATTAATATATACATTATCATCACGGACTACAATGCAAAAACATGTGGCATAAGAATTTGATATTTAGCTCTCATATTTATAAATAAGTGTGCGTCATATGGAGGTGAAGGACGATCTAGTCAATATCTTGCGAATTCGTAGAGTGCGTTTGAACGATACAGTGAGAAAGAACATCACAACTGCAGATACCTGGAAATCATTCTGGAAGACAGAATGAGTCGGCTTGACGAACCTCATAATCAGTTGCACTAGGCCAGGGGTGCTCACACTTTTATATTAGGGTCATTGATCTACCACAAACCATTTAGGTTTCAAACGATTGCCACGTACGACTACCGGCGATTTAGAGTAGCCAACTCATAATGAGACAAAAAACATTCATGGAAAATACTCATTATATTAATTTTATCTTTTGGAGCGTACGAAATGAAATCCCTAAGATGATAGAAGGTCATCGTGCCGATACCTTGGGAGGATAGGCTGAGGAGATGGGTATTGGAATTTTTTATAAAACCTCAAAGATTATAAGTTCTTGGAAATACTTCCAAGACTCCTATACACAAAGGAGTTTTGAGGAAGTGCTGTTCGACATATTTCGAGGTTGAAAAAGGAAGGATGTGCTGACTGGGGTTGTCGATTTCGTCTGACTGGTGATGAAATGATAGCAAAGATCACAGAAGAACATTTCCCAAGAAAGTATATGTGGAAAAGTGAAAGGTCGCCGACATTTTTTCCGGTTTTCCAATCATGTCAAAGAGTAAGTAAGTGTGGCATCACCCACCAGAGGAATGGATCTTCTTTGGATAGAATCAAAGAGCATAATTGTATGTTTGGTACTGAATATGTGGAAACAGAATTATAGAACAGGCCGTATCTGTAATTTGTGTAAAGTAGCCTTTCCCACGGAACAAAAATTGTTGATATAAACAGTGGGAATGGTGCTATCCGACATTGTTATATCAGGCATACTGTATTTCACCTTTCTAGAGAAAATACAGGCTCGATTCTTGGTGGTGTAGGATTCAACTAGGTTGTTGGTTCCGCAGGCTGTAATTTCAGCAAGTTTGTTATTGACGTTTCCTGGAAAGAAAAAGGAAATCTAGGAGAACGCAGTATGGAGAGTACTATCGTCTGCAAAGCTGTAAAAAGGGCAAGTGGGTGCTTCCAACAGATCATTGATATGAAGTAGGAATAATGATGGTGCTTAAATCGATCCTTGTGGAACGCCGGATGTAGCGACCTGCCAGAAAAAAAATCTATTGAAAAGGTCATAGCTGAGGTGGTAAGCCCTATGATGGTAGCTTGTGCTTGGAGTCCTTGGTGCCAAACACGGTCGAATGTCTCCGATATATCGGTGACGTATAGGCCAATGAATCTCCAGTTGATCTTTGGTGGCTAAAGCCATATTTTCTATCATAACAGGGCGATAATAGGCCTATATTTGTTGGGCAGGATTTCTTTTTCCTTTTTTTTGGTATTTTTTGGACTTTAGCTATTTTCCAGCATAGAAAAATACAAGACTTGTACAAGATGGTGAACCATTTGAAGATAATCAGTGTCAAATCTGATTTACATCCTTCGAGGATTGGGTGGCATTCCATAATATATATCATATATAATATATCTATAATATATAAATATAAAGTTAATTACACATTTGAAGAGTTGAACATCTAATGATGCTGCAATGTATTTATAAAGTGATTATTATTTAATTTTCCGCGATCGATTCCAAAAGCTCTCGCAATCGACTGTTTGAGCACACCTGCACTAGGTCAATCAATTTTTAGAATTTGTCTGTCAATTAGAGTTGGTTCGAATCTGAGAGTATCTTGGTAAATGTTTTCATCAAATGAATATCTATCGTTGTGAAGAGATTGTAACAGGTAGTCTATAAATCATCGACATTTAATTTGAGGCAAAATTCTTTTTGCGTTGGTCTCCCCAGTCAAAATGACTACAAGTGTTTTCAAGTCAAATATTTCGATTCTTCCTATAATATGTATATTTGCATATAATTAGGCACAGGGAAATGTTATCATATTCTACTTACTGTGTTTTGAATCATACTATGTACAGTGAACAGATGTCTAATGCTGGGAGAACTTCGTACCTACAACTTTGAAGGTGCCATCAAAATGTAATTCATTCAACCCTGCCACTGCAGAATTGAGAAGGTCTGCGCAGAACAGAACAACACTGTCCCGTTCTCAGTTGTGAATGTTCATGCAATCCTGCCATGGTAGGTATACCGGTCTCCCAACTCTCCATTGAGCAAGTGACCCAAATCTCTCAGAGTCGCTGGAATCTGTGGTGTACTTTTTCTTCTGGCAGCCCTCATGGCATTTTCTTCCTTCGGGAAGGGGTAATTGATTGCTTGGATGGGGTTCCTGTGGGATATTGAAATTGAGAGACGGGAAAAGAGTTTGACATTTCATCTCCGCTGACAGGTTACAAAATGTCACTTTTCATAAAATCATCTAGTTTCTTTACAAGCGTGCGTGATTCACCCTATATGCCCGCACGCAAGTTGGTTTTGGAAGTGTCATTTTCCCGCAACAATGCGGGAAATGTTTTCCCACAGTAGTGCGAGAAATTTTTTTTCACACTATTACGGAAAAAAGCTATGATCTGATATTATCGCAAAATATAAGTGCTTGATGATGGAATATGAAAGTTCGAACTTGTTTGTTGCAGTATTAAATAAGTTTTTTCACGTCATTTTTCCCTTAATAAACGGATTCTATTTCCTCAAAACTTCACGGTAAAAAATATTTGTTACAGAAACAATAATCTGGTTAATATAGGCACAACCAGATTCAAATCGTTGCTGATACCATATCAGATTGTAACCATAAAACAATAAAATAATGGTATTTGTATCACAAGAATATGATTGTGCCTATACTGACCAGATAATTTTTTCACTTGTTGTTTTTGGTAATTGCACCAATGTTACATTGAATATTGTTGATAATAAATGAGAAGATATTTTCTCGCGATTATTGTAGTAGATAACACATTTACCTAGTCGTTAATTTTTTCAATCAATTGATAACTGTATATTATAACAGTCGTAGAAAAAGTATAGTGTAAAACTCGTACGGAATGACCATTTTCTATTCGTATTATTAGCAGCACTAGTTTGCAGCTCGAAGGAAATTCATGTCATTCCGTGCTCGTTGTACAATATGCTATTTCAGAATCATCCATCAACTTGAACTATTTATTGACCAAGAATGTGTACTTCTGACACAAGTGATTCTGAAAATTGAAAAATTTCATTTTTTCACACTTCATATCATTCCTCGTGAACCTAAAGTGCGTCAAAGTGCTCGCAAGAAAGAATATGATGAGGATGCAATAAAATACCGGGTGTCCTATAAGAAAAACTTTGATACGCCACGCATTCTTGAGTCACCCTGTATAACGTAAATTATTTCAGAAATGTGCTGCCCATGAGCCTCTCGCGATCGACTGTTTTACCACCCCTGCACTAAGTCAATCTATTTTTAAAATTTGTCTGTCAATTAGGGTTGATTCAAATCTGAGAGGATCTTGGCAAATGTTTTCATCAAATGATTATCTATTGTGGTAAAAGATGAAAAAAATTTGAGATTGTTCCTACTAGTTCACAACGAACTGGGCATGAAATATCCACATGGCCCCATTTGAATGAAATGGGGTTTCTAGACTAGTTTATCA